GCATTCCTCTAAAATACTCATTAAAAGAGAATATGTTTTTTGTTCATTTTTACCCTTAAATTTTTTCACAAAGGGGCACCTGGGTGGCTCAGTCATTAAGCGTCTGTCTTCAGCTCAGGTCGTCATCCCAGGGTTCTGTGATCGAGCCCCCACCTCAGGCTCCCTGCTCAGCGGGAAGCCTATTTCTCCCTCTCCCACTCCCCCTTCTTGTGTTCCCTCTCTCACTCTCTCTGTCAAATAAATAAATAAAATCTTAAAAAATTTTTTTCACAAATACTTTAGAAATGTGAACATTTAAATATTTGTGGTAGTTATGAGCACAGACTTAAAGTTAGCCTTATGTTTAATCCTGACTCAGTCACTCACTGGTGTGGCCTTGGGCAAATTTTTAACCTCTAAGTCTCAGGTTCTCATTGCTAGAATTCTAATAGTACCTACTTCATAGACCACTGGAGGAGTACATGAAATAAAACACAATGTCCATAAAGAGGTTAGCACAGTATGTAGCACACAACTAAGGAATGTTAACTTATTTCTACTGAGATGATATATTTATATGTGTGTTAATATAATCATACTAATGCGGTGAGAGGAGAGAATCAATTGTACACCTGAGGATTATGTACTTGATATTAATTGTTTTGAATATCTTCAGTAACTTAATGCTAAATACAGACACTCTTTTTAAAAATTCGGGGAAGCAGGTTTTCTCATTGGAAATAATACTTTCTAAAAAGTGGAAACACTGATACATTCTCCATATCAAAAAGCATAAGTAAAGAAAGTCCTATTGTGTCAGGTGCCTGGGTGGCTCAGTAGGTTAAACATCTCCCTGAGGCTCAGGTCATGATCCCAGGGTCTTGGGATGGAACCCCACATCAGGCTCCCTGCTCTTTTCTAAGGAAGGGCAGCCTGTCACACGTGGCAACGCATTACGAGCCTTGACCTTCTGTGGAGTGAAATAAGCCAGTAACAAAGGGACAAATACTGCAGAACTCCGCTTTAGAACTGCCACAGTAGAGACAGAGCAGAACCGTGGTTAGAGGGGAGTGCACACAGGCCGGGAGGGGGGAAGAGAGAACCTGCTTCGCCCTTTGCCTCTCACCTATGCCTTGTGCATGCCGCGCGCTCGCTCTCTCTCTTCTTCTCTCTCTCGCAAAAATAAATAAATAAATGAAGAAATACCTATTGTGTCTTCATGGAAACCATATAATAAAAGCTTTACTCTACCTTAAAATTGAAGGAGCTCACATTATTATAATAATTGATTGTTTTCCCATATTTATTTTAATAACTGTATTAACCATATTCTTAGTTTTATTCAAATAAAAAGTATTTACACATGTCATGTGCATCCTATGTATAGACATTTTGCCCATTCCTCTACTTTATTCTTAAAAATTCCATCCTTATTATCCTTTTTATCTAAGGAAAGATCAAGAAAAGTCTATTTCCTTAGTCATCTTAGTCATTATCCGCCTCCACCGTCCCTCCAGGCTAAGAACATCGTGCAGACTGAGTTATTAAAGTCGATCTGAAGGAGCAATCTGTTCTAAACGACTGTCCCTGGATCTGCCACAGAACCCTGTAAATACCCTTCATTACTCTGGCGGGGTAGTGTCACATTTCCTTCATGATACTTCTGTGGCTGACACCAGCGAGGCAGTGAGATTTGGGCTTTGGATGATCCTGACTGATTGATACAGGAATGGTGTTTCTCCTACAGGTAACCACAAATTGACTTCTCAGGATAATGTTTTAAAATAGGTCTTCTATGTATAGTTTTCAAAAAATGTTTTTAGTTTTTGAAACGAAGTGGGTTTTGGACGTAGAGCTTTTCTCATGTTTTTGGTTTTAGTTTTAGGTAACCATTTTCAATACCGTTTAGATGAAAAAGAAGTTCAGTAAGGATTTAATGGTATTTCTCAATTACATTGTATCATGGGGTTTGGATAAGACCCTTTATAATCTACCATACATATATCATTTTGGATGGACAAGAACTTTTCTTTGGTGTGAGTACTCTTCTCGTTAACAAAGGTTAGGAAACCCATACATGTCTTTATTCTTTAAAATAACATGTAGAGGAGTTTTTGTTCTTCTCATCTGATACTGGGGGAGGGGGGTCGTAAGTCAATATAAACCTGTGAACTTAAACAAAACTGACTGAAACTTTGGTTTATGTGAGCAATTTCTTTTCAAGAATTAAAATCTACAGCAATATGGAAAAAAAATAGGAAATCCAAAATTTTACGAATCTACTAGCACAGAATTCTTGCATGTTTATCCTCCAAGTGAAGACTTCCTCTGTCATAGATCTTCCAGATTCCTTGATATGCCTGTGGATCACCCTGACGTGAGTAAATTGTTTCTGTAGCTGAGTGACTGAATTAAGAAAACAGCTGAAGGCAAGCACAGGATCATGTTTAAACCACAATAAACACACGTGTTGGATGGGCCACTCAACTTTATGGGGAAGGCTTAAGGCATGTAATCTTGTGTTTACTTGTCACTTCTGAAATTTCTTTTTAACTATGTTGGAAATTTTTTTAAAGTTTAAAAAATTGTTCTTTGTATCAATAAACTCTGGTAAAATCTGAACTAATAGGTGTGTGGTACAATGTTTATATAAGTACTACAGTGATAACCAGAATAGAGGCTGTGGTTACTTGGGAGAAAAAAATGATTTAAAAAAAAAAAAAACAAAAACAGAGTTTAGAATACAAGTTTCCTATATTATAAGCAAGATGTCCACAATTGCTGAATATTATTTATTTTAAATATTTCCACCCAGCTTTTTTCCCCCAGTGTTCAAAAAATTTTGTATACTGTCTTATCACGGCATAATTTGTATGGAAGCTACACACTTATAGCATGTGTATACATTTCCCTTTGGAAAATCAAATTGTAGCACATCTATTTTTACCCAAAATAGAAGTTCCGCTTTCCCATATCCCTAATGAGGAACTAGTAGCAGTTATATTGATTAGGTCTCAAGATCTGAGTGGGATAGTGGGGGATGATGATCTTATATTTATTTATTTCGAAAGGGGACAATGGCTCTTTTCCTCCCTTTTAAGATGTATTTATTATTTATTTTAGAGGGAGGATCGGGGCAAGGGGCAGAGGGAGAAGGAGAGAGAATCTTGTGTGTGTGTGTGTCTGTGTTTTCAAGTTTACTAGTTTTCTATCCCAACTATAGCATTACTACATAATGTTATACCAATCTGCAAAATGTGCTCATTTTTATATATACATATACGTATATACATATATATATGCCCAGAGTGAAGCCCAATGTGGAACTTGAACAAGGAGAAAGAATCTTAAGCAGACCTCCTGCTAAGCACCGATCCCGATGTGAGGCTAGATTCCACAACCCCAAGATCATGACCTAAGCTGAAATCAAGAGTTGGACGCTTAACTGACTGAGCCACCAGGGTGCTCCCAGATCTTATCTTTAAAGAAAAAGAAATTATTGGAGCAACCATATAAACAGAAAGTGTATAAACACAATTAAGTAGTTTTGAGGTTAGTATCAACACAGAATTAGATAAGAGAGCAAAGAAATCCTTCGTTTAAAATCTGGGCTACTGTGGTAATAAAAACAGCCTATCCGCATAATTCAGTTCTTTTTGTACCTTTTTTCCCTCCTCAGTAACAGTACTTTAAACCTGGCTTATTTAAAAGTTTTCCTCAATTTTTTTTCACCTTGCCTGTTTAAATACAAAGCTCCATAAGAAGGGAATAGGGAAACCCCTGATGTGATCAAAATAAACAAAGAAATTTTATATCTATTCAACTTACAATAGGAGTCTCAAGATGCCTAAAAAGGGTAAAAAGATCTCTTAGTAAATTCCATAAGGTTAAGAATTTTGGTATATTTTGTGTACTGCTTTAAACCCAGTACCTGATACATAGTAGGAATCTGGTAAATATTTATTGATTAAATGAATGAATGAATGAGAAGAATTTCTACAAACTGTTGAGTGATTTAATTAAGAATCTAGATACAAGCCAATACATTATTTCATGCTATCTAAATCTGAGAATGACCCTTTTAAAAAATGACCAATGACATTTACCTGAATTTTCAAAATGCAGGCTTCTGCCAAGATTAATGACATTACAGCACACTTAATCTGTACCAAGCAATGGGATTGACTTCTTTTTCCCCAAATTTCTGTTCTGAAAAAGTATGAAATTAATATGAAAGAACCTATACTTTGACAAAGAAGGTTTTTGAGCAGATGGTGGTTTGGTTAAGCAGTCTTTTTTATTGATAATTGGTAATGCTTGTGAAAGAAGACATCTGGCATAGACTTTTTCAAATAATACACAAAAATGTTATTCCAGATACTAATACAAGAATAGGAGTTGTAATCTATTATGTTACAGAGTCATGTATTCTTTTGAACAGTGTCTGGTTGTTTGTTTTTTTTTCTGATGAAGTTTGTTCGAACTCATTTGTTGTTGGGTTTACTCTCAGGCTGATTTTCTTTTCTCTCCATTTTTGGGGGGGGTGTGATCTCTAATTAACAACTTTTAATGTTAGTTATCTTCTCTGCCTTTGCTTAGCCTTTGGTCCAAAACTCTCCACTTTTAAAATGTCAGACCTCAGCTTTGTATGCCTTTTCACAGCCAAATTTCCTAAAATGTATCAGTGCTTAAATGATAATAAATTTTTCCATTAAAATTAAAGTTCCTAAAAATTAAGAATTTTGATGAATTTCAAAAATAATACCATTCTCTTTGACAGGTGGAACATGGTGTCATGAATTTAGTAGTAATTCCAAACATAAATCAATAAACAACTTGGGCCTCCAGCTAGGAGTGAAATTCTGTAGGTAGAAAAACTGATTGACCCCCACCGCCCATAGGTGCTGTTTCGCTATGGAATCCCTTTGCTCAGTTTTCTCCTGTCCAATCAGGTGGAATGTTTCACAGGCACATGGTTTATGCAGCTCAAAATAACTTGGGACCTGTGAGCTGACAAATGCTCTGGCTCCGGTGGTGACAGGTTGTCCAGCTTCTTACAGCCATCTTCACTGAAACTAAGGTTAACTCCTCACTCTCTATGGACGGCTACTCTCGATTTCCAAGGGCGTGAAGAATTTTCTTTTTCTCCTGTGCTTTCATCTAAAATTTCTCCTTGGATAATTATCATCACAGTGGATTGCCTGGGTTGGACATCCTCATCTGGGTCAACTAAAAAAAGAAAGGTAATATCCAGATTTAAGTTCTCAAGTGTGTTTTGATAACAGGGCGTTGACAATGGGAAAAGGGATATTTCAGAGACCTAGTTACTGTGATTAAGAGGGAAACCTAGGATAGCTCCTAATTGTGTTTGATGGGACACAAAATTTTTACAAAAAATAAAGTTTTCTACATGTACAGATTTTGGAAGGGATTGGTGAGAGTCACAGAGATCACAGCCTCCTTGAGTCCTAAGGAAAAAATACCTCAACAGAGGAAGTTGTGACATGATACATACATCATAGGTATTTCCACATGTTCACTTATTAAAATAACAGTGCGTATAGAGAATTTGTGGTGCGATGCCTATTTCCTTTTTAAAGGAAGTCAAATCTAAAATAATATGACTCCGTAGCTAAAAGACTTTCATTTTAAATTTTTTTATCATGTAAAAGGATATGCTTGCTATATTTAGTGTTGGGAGATCTGCTCCCTGGATTAATGTACACAACAGCTGCAAAAAGTCTTGCTCAAAGGACATTGCTCTTTCTTTCTCCTTTCTCTCTCTCTCTCCCCCTCTCTCTCTTCAACTGCATCAAAAAGACACTTGACAGTCAGTGGCAAGTGTTTGGCCTGATACATTGTGCTATTAGCAGTAATTAGAGGCACATCTTGAATTATATTTTAAAAACCATGTAAGCAAAGAAAAAGAGAACTTGGATTAATCTGTATTTCCATTCCCCAAAAGTAAACATTACAGCAATGGTGCTAAGAAATTTTCTATTTCGTCAACCGATTTTTATTCATACTTGTTAAAGATACTAGAATCAATCAGTTTGAAAAAAAAACAAAACACCTATCCATTTTTGTTCTCAAAAAATTGTGGTTCAGTTACTTTCACATTGATAATGATAAAATGAATTCTACAAACTCCAATAAAGAATCTGTGACAACTTTTCAGTCTCTCCTTAATCATAACTCTTAAGTACATGTAAAATCCACAATCCTTTTCTAGGAAATTGAGACTGTTTATACTTAAAGGTGTAATAAACATATTTTTTAAACAAAGGTTAAGATATGCTGTCTGACACATGATTTGACAACAAACAAAATATTTTAAAATCAAGGCCATTCCAGGAAATCTGAAATATATGCACATTATATTTATTTTGTTGGTAGACAAAATTCTAGCCATTACAGAATCTTGTAATAATGGACTATGAAACAAACGGTTGGACACTATCCAAATTCTGGAAGTTTGTCTCTATTCCCAATTATAGAGTATAGCTAATGTTATTGGAACTCATACTAATGTGTTAAACCCCCAGTTCTATAGATCTGTGATTTAGAATACAAGCTCTCTATTACATGTTTCTATTACAGTGTGCTTAGTCCAATAAGTGGAATGGACTCAGAACCACAATTCATGGACATCAAAAATTGAATGAGTTTTTAATCCAGGCTGGGTTTTGTGATTCATAGAGATGGTTTATTCAAATTTACTTTTGACATAAGACAGCTGATAAATCACTTTTCATCATGAAAGGGCTTTAATGAACTAAGATGTCAGCTAAATTTTCAACAGTTAATGCCGTATATGTAATAGGAGTAATGAACTGAGCTTGCTAACCTGAAAATACAAGACAAATGATACTGGTAATCCCAGAATAATTACAATAGTTTCCTTCATTGACATTGAGATTTGACAAAGGCATTGCTTGTCACCCAGTGTCATTACCTATAACAAGACCAAAAACTGAATTTTTTCCTCTCTTAGGAGATACAGAAGAATCAAGCACCATGGAGATCTTTTCTTAAATTTCTACGGTGCTGCATACTTGACAAAGAGTTTTTAAAACTGCTAGGGAATTGCACTTTTGCCTAAAGGGAATAATTCAAGTACAGACAGAATAGTCTGTTTAAAAATTTAGGAGCCTTGGGGCGCCTGGATGGCTCTGTGGGTTAAGCCACTGCTTTTGGCTTGGGTCATGGTTTCAGGGCCCTGGGATCGAGCCCCAATCAGCCAGGGAGACTGCTTCTGCCTCTGTCTCTGCCTACTTGTGATCTCTGTCAAATAAATAAATAAAATCTTTAAAAAAAAAATTAAGAGCCTATATTCAGCAAATACATTTTTGGTGGACACAAAGGTTTGTATGACTGTTTACTTGCACTCACCAGAATTTGTAGAGTTCACGTATAACCAGAGTCACCTTGACCAGTTCTGCACAGGCTGCCTGTTGCCTCCGCTTGGGGTCACAATGCATTACACCCTCTGGGAGGGGCCCAGCACAGCCTTCCCACCAAGTCCTTGAACTAAAACTAGATCTTCAGATCTGGAGCCTCTTGGGGGCACATCTTCCTCTCCCAATCTAGCCAGCATGTTATGTCAGTGTAATTTGGGAAGTTACCTTTTTCAAATCCTTCATCACCTAAAGAAATCTGACAGGCTGAAGAGGGATGAAACTGTTCTACTGTTTTCTTATTTAAAATAATCTTTGAGTTAACGAGATTGACGTTTTCTCGTTTTTGATTTCCTGTTTGAGAGCTAAGTTCCCCACAAATGGTGAGATCTTGAGAGTGATATAAAACCTCATTTTTTTTATGACTACCACCAAGCTCTTCTTACATCCTAGAGGCCTGAGGTCTTTCTGTTTGCTTTTCATTAGCCTTTCCACGCATTGTGGAGTTTACTTTTACACAATTTCTTTGCTGTCAAGGTTAAATACTAACCTTGGGCTCTGGCTTCAGTATCCTTTACTTTCCTACATGTTTATCCTGTTCTATATTCAAAAAACATAGGAAAGTATGCTTCATAGAAGCCAATCTCTTTCCTCCCACTCAAGCTAAATCCTTACTTTCTTTCCCACCTTCCCCACTTTAGCAATTCAATTAAAACAATAGTAAGAGAAGGGAACAGCTTACACGCCCTTGGCCCATGATCTAAAAACCTTTTCCTTCCTTTAACCTCTGCCCTTTAAGGAATGTCCCTAATTTAACAGATTCCTACTCTTTCTCCTATATATTACCTCTGCTCTGTCTCTTTAGTTCAACATTCTCTTTTAATGTATACATTTGTTTCTATTTGTTTTTATCTGCTGTTTTTCCTGTTTCAAACTGAAAGAGGAATTGAGAGACTAGACCTTACACTATTTCCATAGTGTGGGTTATGACATAGGCTACTGACATATTTCTATATATTTCATGTCCTTATTCTGTTAATGCAACATATACTAACTTACTAAATGACTAATGTCATTCACACCAGAAATAGACTAGAGATAAAACTAAGATGGGGGTGATCCCTGTAATAGTAACAGGATGGGAAACTGTAACGGTGAAGAAAGATTTACCTCAAAATGCGTCCCATATGCAGCCAATGTCATTTCTTTTTTTAGTTAATGCCTCTTTGTTTTTGCTTTTAAGATATATATATATATATATATATATATATATATATATATATATATATTTATCTGAGAGAGATTACAAGCAGGGGGAGTTGTAGGCAGAGGGAGAAGCAGGCTCCCCGTTAAATAAGGTGCCTGATGTGGACTTCATCCCAGGGTACTGGGATCATGACCGGAGCCAGAGGCAGAAGCTTAATGAACTGAGCCACCCAGGGGTCCCTGCAGCCAAATATTTAAAAGATGATCTGTACCCACCTCTCCAGGACCAGTTCCTATGTCATGGGATTTGGTTCTTGGCCCAGCAAGTTTCTCCGAAAGTACTGAATTAGATACTTCTATTGTGTGGAACATCATAGGACAGAAAAGGCAAGACAAATGGATCAACACCAGTGAGAGGGAGGCAAATCCCAATTTTGTTGTTGATTCTTCTCCTAAAGAACATTCTGGGTATAATAATTACACATCAGCAGAAAATTATCACCTTCAATTTGTGTTTTTAAAGCACATTCTTAAAGTGCTTTCACAAACGAAACTATGAAGTAAGCAGAGTAGTTCTGCTTATCCTCAGTTTAGAGGTGAGTTACTTAAAGATGTCTTATCTTTTCCTATTCCAGCTCTCTACATGAATAATTATTAAATATTAAGCTATTTTTTGTGTTTACCTAGAAATGAGATTTGTTTTCTCATTTAGATATCAAAATTTGTTTAGGTATCTATCTCATTTAGATATCTTCAGTGTTTATGTTTGAGTCCAAGTTATTTCATATTAGGTTTTGCTAATTCGCTGGTCAATGCCCCAGTTTAAATATTTGTATTATAACCCAAAGATGGGTGTATACCAAATGATATTTCCAATAAGGCCTTCTTAGAGCTTGCAAAAAAACCTAGTTAACATGAGTTGAGAAATATACCCAAAGGTATCAACATCAAATTTTGTTATTATGAACCAGACCCTTAATTTTCAGCAAGTTCTCAGGGCAGATCCTCTCGTCAGGAGAAATCCCAGGGGAAAAAAATGGAGCTATTTAGCAAAGTAAAATAAAGAGCAGTCAATAAGCCATCTATGTCACTAAATTAGTTTATATGATTTACTAAAGTCTGTGTTGATTATTGATGTCGCCTTGTTTCATTTCCAACCTAGGAATCTCACCTTAACCATGATCTGTTTTTAAGGACAATTACTCATTCTTTTTTTTGTTTTGTTTTTAAACTTTTTTTAAAAAAGATTTTATTTGTTTATTTGAGACAGAGAAAGTGAGAGAGAGCATGAGAAGGGAGAAGGTCAGAGGAAGAAGGAGGCTCCCCATGGAGCTGGGAGCCTGATACAGGACTTGATCCCAGGACCTCAGGATCATGACCTAAGCCAAAGGCAGTCATTTAACCAACTGAGCCACCCAGTCACCCTTCACTCATTCTTATTCTGAAAGTGGCATTAAATCTGTTTCAATTTTGTAAGAAACAGAAAGAAGGAAACAAAGTCCAGTGTCACTCTGAACATCTCAGATGAAATGTCTTAGAGAATTCTTAATTTCCTTTCCTAAAACCTGCTCATCCAAGAAAATATTTAGGCCCTAAATATTTAGGGCCTAAGCAATGTACCTAGTTGCTTAGGCCCTAAA